AAATAAATATTATATATATATATATATATATATATATATATATATATATATATATATATATTCTCTTAACGGGTTAACGGATTATCCGTTAAGAAAATTGAATAATTCGTTCCCAAATCGATAAGCCGCTAATAAAAAAAATTTAATCCATTTTCCGTCCGTTAAACCTTTAACCCGATACCAATAAGCCATTAAGCTTCGGTTTCGATTCGATTTTTGGTTTCGGTTCGATTTTGAACCCCCTGCTCAACATTCTCTTTTGTACAAGATCATCTTTGAAGCAATACAACACTTGCTTCTGAAGTGGCTAGACTTGCAAAAATTTAAGAATTTAGGTCATGATCTAAATGCGAGTCCCAAAATGGGTTATCTGTGCACTTGCTCCGATCTTATTGGATCAGGCAAAACGAGCAAGCCCATTAAATTCTAAGGACCATTATACCCTTACTAAACTAATAAAATACCAATCAGACCATTTAAACCTCCGTTTTCCCACTTCCTCCCGAACCCTTCTCACTTTCCAACTTTCACTAGTGCAAGTAGTTTTTTCCGGCGCCGCCATAGTCGACGATTATTATTTCAGGTGTCTTTTCCCTGATCTCTTGTAGCATTAAACGAACCATGTTCTCATAATTTATCCTTTTACACATCTTTTGCCCTAGTCTTGAATTTTCATAACTTCCTATAGAGTTCTGTTGTGGCTGATTTCTTCACTATGTATCTTCTCTCTGAGATATTTTAACTAATGGGTATTCTGTAAATGACTGAGTTTTACTTTGTTTTGCGTTAAAGATCATTATCAAGAAAAAGATTTGATCTTTTATTTCGTTGATTGTAAAAGGGGAATGGATTTTATATTTTTAGGGTTTTGAATAATTACATTTGTTCTTGAACTGACTCTGTAATGTTGTGATATCGCACCTGTTTTGTTGTTCTAGATAGTTGTTAAGGTTCAGCTTCACATCTCCATTTTCTTTCAAATGGCGGTACGTTATGTTTGTTTTTCCACTTTTTTTGGTTTGTTTTAATAACGTTTAGCTTGTGGATTCTATATATAATGTTCTTTTATGTTCTCAGATTGACAAAATCTTCAAAGATGAAGCCACTGAAGAAAAGGGCGAGCGCGCTAGGATGGTAAGTCTCATTTCTCAGCAAATACCGACTGAGTTTGCGTAGAAGCTATTTTAATAGGTTACTGAACAGTGGCGGAGCCACATAGGCTCAAGGGTGGTCAAACACCCGTCACTGAAAAATTATACTATTTATATAGGTTGTACGTATATACAGTTATCATAATTTTCCATCTATATTGAAAGAAAAGACAGGTTTATATGTTGCATTGCCATGTTAATGTATGTGTTTTGTTGAGAATCTGCTACAATCTTTTTTTGTAGCAACTTATGCTTATTATTCTTCAGTTTTCTGAAATAATTGAGTGTTTGAAACTCTAGGCGTCGTTTATTGGAGCAATGGCAATTGCTGACTTGGTAAAGACAACCTTAGGACCTAAGGGGATGGTAAGCTCAGTCTTTGATTATGTATTTTGCAGGTATTGAGAAGAGTTAGGATTGTGGTTTGACAAATACTACATTTTCAATATTTGCAGGATAAAATTTTGCAATCGACAGGCAGAGGACACAGTGTTACAGTTACCAATGATGGTGCAACAATTTTGAAGTCCCTCCATATTGACAATCCAGCTGCCAAGGTCCTCGTGGGTATCCTTGATATTTCTGTATTTCTTGTTATTTTCCCTGAAGTAAGGGATCATTTTTCTTGAAATAAATAGTCTCCGTAGTTGGTTGGTGAACTCCTTGGCACTAGGGCTGAAGCTAAAGTTGGATCGTATCCGAAAATGAATCCATGTAACATAGTGTTTAATAGGTTACAGGTAATAAGGGTTTTAGTGTAAGATTACACCACAACCTTCTTCCTCTTTGTTTTCTGGTTTAAGTTATCATTAAAGAAAAATGCCAGATATGTATTTTTAAGACCTTTTACAGATAGTTGAAGGAGATATGTTTTTCAAAAAAAAAAAGATAGTTGAAGGAGATAGAGGGGCTGAGACTTTATCACAGGAAAGAGATCCTGGGGAACAAAATGATGTGATTTTATGAATGTTATACCTTGACCCTTTTAAAGATATCTCCAAGGTACAGGATGATGAAGTTGGTGATGGGACAACTTCAGTAGTCGTTTTGGCTGGAGAACTTTTGAGGGAGGCAGAAAAGTTGGTAAATTCAAAAATTCACCCGATGACAATTATCTCAGGTTTGTTCTAATGATCTGATGTCTTAACATATCTCTTATACACACGTTGAAGATCTGGAGAATGATTCAAGCAGTTATTTTTTGGTGTGTCTGGAACGAAAGGAATCGCAGATGTTTTGATGGGATCTCAACTCCAACTCATTCCCTGAAAGCTATATGCTTAGTTAATTTGTTCAATTGGAACCTTCTGTCCCCTGTAAATAGTATTGACAGCTTTCTGGATTTCGTTAGCTCCATGTTCTTAGTCTAGTCACTCTCGTATAGGATCTAACTATCTTTTGTAAATCTTTTGCTATTAGCATCTTCCTGATGCTCTTTAGTGATATCAGTTTACTTCATAAAAAAACACATCTCTTATACTCACGTGTATGTATATTATTTAGGCTTCCTTCAAGCTTCCTATGTGCAGAACAGTTAGAGTACAAACTGCTTTTGGGCTGCTTTATCAAATTTGCTTGTGTACCATTAGTGCAATGCATGCTTGCTACTTTGTCTTAAATTGGGCATCTTTTCTTTTATCTATTGAAGCATCTGGTGTACTTGCTTTCTGATGCTTGACGTTTGTTAATCTAGAAAAGGATTGACCCATGGATGATATCTGAGTGCTACATTAGCAAATATCATCCAAATCTGTCCCAATGCTTGTTTTCATAATGGAGTCTGTTTCAGTTAGAATCTACAGTTTCTATGTAATACAATGAAAGAAAAGAAGAACTCAACTACTATTTCCAGCAAGACAAAATTACTAGGTGAATTCGTCTCATTTGCCTAAGTGTTGGTGGGCTGAGAGTTACCCGGTAAGGAGGTAGAAGGTACCCGGAGGAATAGTCGAGGTGCAGCAAGCTGGCCCAGACACCTCTGTCTAAAATAATCTACTACTATAAAGGAGAGATTGCCAAGAGACAGCTTGAATTCCTTCACGCCTGGACATTTCAATCCAAAACTGCCAAAATATATTTCTATTCTGTTTATCAAGCCAAAACATAGCAAGTTCCTATTTCTTAGTAATAAAATTAATGTTCTTTGAGGTACCTAATCTGGTTTCATGCTTAGTATACCTTTCAATTTTTTATTTGCTTCTTTATATCAGGTTTCCGGATGGCATCTGAGTGTGCACGCAATGTTCTGGAGCAGAAGGTTGTGGATAACAAGCAGGATGCAGGTATCATTGCTTGAGTTGTTTAGTTGAATGTAATATCATAGCAGAGAACCTACATTCAGTGGCATATATTGATTTTCCTTAGATTGGTGTACTACTTTCTCTTTGCACTATTCCAAGATAACTTTTCATGGATGCTAGTAGCTGACAGCCAAGAGATTTATTTATCTTGATTTTCTCAGAATGATATGGTCATAGTTTTTTTAATCTTTTGATGTTGCAGAGAAGTTTAGATCAGACTTAATGAATATTGCAAGGACTACTTTGAGCTCAAAAATCTTGTCTCAGGACAAGGAGCATTTTGCGAAACTGGCTGTTGATGCGGTTATGAGGTTAAAGGTGAATATTTCATCTGCTTTAGCAACTTACAAAGAGCATATTTTTCTTTTTAATCTTGTGATCTCTATCTGCAATTATTATTCCAATCCCTTTTTTCTTTTGCATTATCCTATAGATGTTTATCTGCATCAGTTGTGTAGCTTGACAACTTTGCAATGAGGTATAACTGCACATTCTGACAAAGCACTTTGACTTAAGTTGTTGGCATGACGCTTGAGAATCTAATTGAACACTGTTGTTTAATGTTTGACCTTAAATACATATAGGTATTCCAATTAAATTGATGAAGTAATACACTTAAATTTATGGGATCAAACTGGTTTTTTTTTTTTTTTTTTGTTGTTGTTGTTGTTGTAATACACTTAAAATCACTTTGTTTGGCTCAGTGAGCAAAAGGAAGCATTTCGATAGGGGAGTATTACGTTAATAATTGTTTTGTTCTACTCTTGCTTTGCTTATATAGTGCATTAGTCAAACTTACCTTATCAAGATTACATGCACTCAAACTATGTGTCATTCAATGAGCAGGAGGGAGTAAATATTATTTACAGTTAGAGTGGCATATAGACTAATTAGGGTGTTGGTTACTGGTAAATGTCCCTGCATCACTCAATGTGGATTGTTGGGTAAGAAGATGAGATTAAATCTGAAGTAATTTTTATGTGGCATCACATCCCTGAAGCGTTGTATTGCTTTTTGAGTTTAAATTTTTTGTACGGACGGTTTAAAAAAATATTTACACAATGAGGTCTCTTATAAAATAGCAATTACTGGTAAGTCTCTATGATAAACATTAATGAGAAATTGCAACCTCACCTACTATCACAGGATAAAATTCATGGATAGTGTAAAAAATCTTTAAGCTGTAGTGTATGTAACTTAAATCATTGCGTTTTTTATGCTTGTGAGACACAACATTGTGGGAAGGGAGCTACTGAGATTCTGGTCGACACTGATACAACAAAATCTTATGTTGCATGCCGATAGAGAGGAACTAGTTATATGTGACTAGATCAAAAAAGGAGAAACATCTGAGAGTAGTTCCATTTTTTTTAATGTGAAAGAAACTTAGTTTCCTCTTCCTTATCTAAGAAAAACATAGTTTTCCCTCTTTCCTAGGTCAGAAACTAAATATTTTTCTTCAAAGGGTTGAAATTTGATTTCTACAAAATTAGGACTGTTTCACTTTCTTTCATATTGTGGATTCATCACCTTCTGCCTAGTATTATCTAACGTGAAAAATTAACATGAGGATGTATTGTGTTTTCTCCTCATTAACTCTTTCACATTCCCTCCTGTTTGTGAGTTTTATTCAGTTATCGTGTTTTAAATCTTTTTCTATATCAATTGTAATGACAGGGCAGTACCAATCTTGAGGCAATCCAGATAATTAAGAAACCTGGAGGTTCATTGAAGGATTCATTTTTAGATGAAGGGTGGGTCCTCTGGTTCGAACTATTTACTACTTGATGTATTTTCGTCGCATGTCTAGCTCTTCTTTTGATTAATTATTTGTTCGTCATTCTCAAACATGGTAATTTCCGATTAAAGACATATGACTAGCTTTATTGATGTTTGCATTTGTGTTCTTTGTTTACCTTAGTGAAAGCAGCCTGTTATCCAATGTAATTCTACTGCATTCATTACTATATCCATCAGTTGATGAACCTGATGTTCGTATATATGGTTTTCTTGGGCCTCAACTAATTTCAGAAGAGTCTGCCTTGAACCAGCATGAAGCTAGGTTATTGTCTAAGATGGCTATCTAGGATGGATGTATGGAATCTTTCTCAATGCTTGGTCGACCTTAGTCCGAGAATTAGCCGCAGAACTCTGTTCCAGTACGGCTATATTGGTGTTTGTTCATTCTAGTATTCTCTAGATTAGAGTAGCTGAAAGCGCTCAATCCGCATTAATGAGTCCAAACCATATAAGCCAGGCTTGATTTGGAACAAAATTTCTCATATTTTATACTGATAATAAGTTTTATTACCCCAGTCCACCTCAATGGAACATAAGTTTCTCAGTTCCTTTTCCTCTTTGAAAGACAAAGCTACGTATCCAGGACAAGCATTGGATTACATGTTCTCTTTTGAAGTGGTAAAGTTTCTTTTATGCAGGTTTATTTTGGACAAAAAGATTGGGGTTGGCCAACCAAAACGCATTGAAAATGCTAAGATTTTGGTGGCAAATACTGCTATGGATACAGATAAAGTGAAGATATATGGAGCACGTGTTCGAGTTGACTCAATGACCAAGGTTGCTGATCTAGAAGCAGCTGAAAAGGGAAAAATGAGAGAGAAGGTGCAAAAGATCATCAGTCATGGAATAAATTGCTTTGTTAACCGACAGCTTATCTACAATTTCCCAGAGGAACTATTTGCTGATGCAGGGATACTTGCAATAGAGCATGCTGATTTTGATGGTATTGAGCGGTTGGGTTTAGTTACTGGTGGAGAAATTGCATCAACCTTTGATAATCCAGAGTCTGTCAAGCTTGGCCACTGCAAACTTATCGAGGAGATTATGATTGGTGAAGATAAGCTAATCCACTTCTCTGGGGTTGAAATGGGTCAGGCATGTACAATTGTTTTGAGAGGTGCAAGGTATGTTGGTGTTATGTTGTTCGTCTTTTATTGTAATTTCTCCTCTGCTTCCTTTGTTGGTATGGAAGGCTGGGGAGCAGGGTCATTGTTGTTGTCTGCATGGTGGTATAATTTTGTTGAGATTCAAAATGACCGCTTATCTTTGGTGCTGTATCAACTGGTCATGTTTCACTAAAAAGCTTTTTTTTTTTTTGAAAAAGGTAACAATTATATTCTTAGCACCCAAAAAACGGGGCTGGTATCTAATATTTACAAGTACAGCCCCTGAAAATCTTACAGAGAATCAAAAAGGTCTAGTAGTGATTCTACATCACCTATCAACTGTTCTTTACACCAAAAATGAAAAAGAGAAATACAAGAACTCTTGATTTTCTGTGTTGAACTGCTCTTGCCTTCAAAACATCTTGCATTCCTCTCCTTCCAAAGTGTCCACCATATGCACGCCGGAACAATCTTCCACCGTTCCTTGTGACTTCACTAAAAAGTTTTTTATTTCTTTCACTTGCTTGTTCAAGCTTGTTATGCATAACTAACATATCCCTTTGCATGAATATTGAACCAAGACATTGTAGACGCCTAAGAGAAGTCTGGGGATAATAAATTTTATATGTGGAAGAAAAAGAAGAAAAACTATGAACAAGAAAATACAAATTATGTGTGTGTGGCGCGCCTTTAATATTTTAAACTTTACAGGTTATAATTAATATTTACTTTACCTGATCAAAATAAAAGAACCGGAACTAAGCTTGAGAGCTGAATTCAAAGGACCATCTGGACCAAGTCCAAGAAGACAGCACAGCTATTGGAAAGATCTAAAAAGGGTCCCAAAACAACGTTGTTCCAATTAGAAGCTCAGTGTCTAACTGGTTTGATCTATTCCTACTTGTTCACCCTATTTAAATCCCTTACAGATATGTGCATAATTGGTCAACTTGCTTTGCTTCTGGAGTTGTTTTGTTTTCTTTTTGGGAATTTTAACTGTGATGATACTTGTGATGTGTTTCCTTGTTAACATCTCCCTTTATCCCTTATTTTCAGCCCTCATGTACTGGATGAAGCTGAAAGATCTCTGCACGATGCATTGTG